AAAAAGCAAAACATACAGAAAACAAGAAATGGAAGATCATTTGCTGACAATAACATGTTTGTTGATGTGCTTGATTGAGACAATATACAGTATACTCTGGATGGAAAATCTCATTTTGTATGCTGCAATGATGTACAGTGAATGAATGCAAATAAATAAATTGAAATAAAACAATGGTATGTTTGCTATGTGCATCTTTAAAACATAGGTAGCCTCAATACCTTAATACATTATAATCACACTACATGTAACAGTACTGAAATGAACCTCATTGAATCTGTACACTCAATTTGAATATGGTTCTGATTTAAAATTTTGAAATATGCAATGAAATGATCAAAGATAAAAATACACTCATGAAGTTTTGGTTAGTGCTAATCTCAGTAGTTCCTAAATGAAAAGATTTGCTGTCTAATGTTTATACTTTTTGTCTTTACCTCCATAAGCAAATCTTATTTTATTCTTAGTAAATTTTTTTAAGAGAGAGTTTTGCAATAGGGTATTTGCACTCACCAGAGAGACAGAGTGAGACAGAGAGAAACTGAGAAATCACCCCCAAGGGGTATGGCCATACCACAATCTCTTCTTCTCTTGGGATTTTGAGCACACATACACATGTGCCCAGTGTGAGTTTTAAGCCACTGGGTCCAGGACTCAAACCATGGTAATGGTTTGTGGTGGACTATGTGGAAATACAGTGATATAACCATTATGCTATCTGCTGATCCCTTCTTAGTGAGTTTTATTCTACTTCTAATCATGAACAAATAATTTTTGATCCTGTTGTTTTTGCCTAAAATATACAGTAATGGCAGGAGCAACAAAAAAGAAAAACTCCATTTACCTCTCTTAAAGTTTAATACTCATTTTGGCCCATATTTGTTAGCCTTTATTTTTTATTATAACCTAAAGGCTGGTAGGTAGTGTGCTGGTTAAGGTGTTAGATTCCCACATGGTCAACCACAGTTCAAGTCCCAGACCTGGTGGCTTCCTTTATAACTTTCATGCTCTCTCTCTGTCCTCTGTCTCTCTCTGGTCAAATTAAAAAATAATAATAAATGAAAAAAAATAAAATCATTCTTTAAAAAAACATCTATGACTGACACTTTATAGAAAGTGGAGAGTAATGGTTTGTCAGCGCTATACAGAACTGAGGAGCTATCTAAACATAAACTCACTATCTAGGCTGGCCATATTCAACCTGATCATCTCCTTTCTTCACAGCCCTTCTGCTTGAGGTCTGAAACACAAAACCAGGCTTAGGGCCAAGCTGTGTAGAGAGCAAAGAACAGTGCCAGCAGGTGCACAGTGGTTAAGGTACAGAACCCCTATGTGGTCAGCTGAGGTTTGAGTCCTGGACTTGGCAGCCTGAAACTCACACTGGGCACATATGCATGCTTGCCTAAAATCCCAAGAGGAGGCTGAAGGGAAGGGACTGTGGTGTGGCCAACCCTCCTCAGGGTGATTTCTCACTTTCTGTCTCTCAGTCTCTATCGCTCTGGTGAGTACACATTCTCTACAACAAAAAATCTTAAAAAAAAAAAAAAAGAAAAGAAAAAAAGAAAAAAGAAAGAAGAAATGCCCCTCTCAACAGTGTTGGGCTAACCATTTAAAATAGGTGTATATCACAACCTGTCCTTGGTCATTAAAGACAATCATAAAATATAGGTAAGAGAAAGAATAGTTCTTAATTTTGCACAAATTTTAAAAAGCTATTATTATATTTAAAATGATAAAATGTCATTGCAAAAAGGAAAGCCTATGAACTTCTGTAAGCAAGAGCCCACATTAGCTACCTGCACTACTGGAGTCTATAGATGTTCACGGCAAGGAAGAGTCAAACTATAAGAGCAGAGGATTAGGAGAAACAATCAGGGTCACAGGGAAAAAAAAAAAAGCAACAACAATAACAAAAAACCACAGACATACTAGAAATGGATAAACCTTTTTA